TTATGTAAACGTGAAATATTTGCAGATGAGAGTATTATCGTGGATGAATATTTTGGACTGCAAAATGTCAAATATTAATGGAACCATACATTTTTTAAACTATTAGCATATGGTCTGACTAGTATAAAATATTGGTTGGTAGCATTCTAAAGGAAAATTGGTGAGTTTGGTGACCAGATTTGCCGCCATGTTAACTATATAACGAGTAGCGCCCAAATTTAACATTTAGAACATTCAGTAAATATTCATGATAAAGCATATGCAAGCAACCTACATGGGTTAGCACTAGCAGCTTCAAGAATATAGCCACGATCTAAAGAGGCTCTCAGCTGTTACTAGAAATATGACACCGAAAGCTGTCAGGGGCCCCGTACTTGCAGATCTCTCAACTTATCTGCTAGCTGATGAGCAGGAATATGCTAGTCTACTGTCCAAGAATGTGCCAGGAATGGTTCCTTAAATCACGAAGACAACATTCCTTAATGGAAAGAAATGCATCAGCCTTTGGATTCCCCAGTTACTAGGCTGAAAGTGGAAATAGTGCAAGAAATAATTGTCAGAGGTAGTTAACCCGTCAAGTAATCGATACAATTACAAGTTGGTCTACTAATATATCTTAATAACCGCGTAATTAACTGTAAGCTTTGTCATGTCAGTTGCATATACATAATCTGTAGTGTTCCAATGATTTTTTGACAGAGTGTTACCATAACATATAAAACTAGAGCTCCACAGGGCAAAACATTAATTTAAAAAATATGACGGTCCTGTAAAGTAATGAAATGGTGTAGTGTACTGTTAGATGTGATAATTACTTTAATTACAGAACTTGCAAACAATTTGGTACAATGAATATTATTGTGTGTCCCAAAGCCGCAAAATTCTATTTTCTGCATCCATTCTATATATTTGTGCACATTGGACGTACATTTCAGCATCATGTAAAACCCTTACTAATATTATTCAGTGTTCAAAATTAAGGGTCCTGGTTCATGAGGTCCACTACTGCAGTATTCGAACCTAGGGACCTCAATATCTTGACTTTTAAAATTGGGGTCATGACAAGGACTCGATGACTTTCGTGTTTAACTACGAACACTGTTCTCCATCGACACCTACCATGCCCTATACTGATGATGTCAGCAGTGAAATAACACGTTACTCAACAAGCTTTGTGCTCGCCCTATTAACAATACAGCGAACTACCCACACTTTTACACTAAATGACAAACATTATATTGATTGATGGTAATATTTTCTGTGGAATAGATAAATGTCACCAGTCTGTTGTTTGGAAATGAGGACAAAAGCAGCTTTGGAAAAAATAGGAGCATCAAAAATATATAAATGTGAACATTTCTAGAAAAGTAACAATACTGAACTATTCAAACTGTTTAATGCAGAGCACTGATCATAAACATTACAATGATCACTGGTGCAACCGCAACCGATTTTCATAATGTATATACATATATACTACATGTTTATTGCAACCAACACGAAACACACACTACTGTTAACAATCCCGACAGTGTTTTACAATATTTGTCATGGGGCAGTCATCACAGACAGCAAATATGCTCAGTTGGTGTAAATCCTAGACAGGCAACATTATCTGTAAATATCATTTCACTATCAACAACTGCACCGTTAGAAACTGGCACTGGAGTCCTTGCCAAACTGCCCAATAGTTAAGGTATCATAAGGACTAGTAGAAATTTGCCATTTTTAAGGGGTTTGCTATATGTTATCATTATGAGGACTAGTGGACTTAAACTGCTTCATGATTAAGAAATAAACCATTTCACAATACACCGGAAATGATTTTGGGATAACCAGAATTTTCTGACCAAACAATCACAAGTGATAGACTGAATCTGATCTAATCGTGGACATTTTCCTTGTATCAAGTATACATTCAACTAAAGTGGAACACTGTTCAACAAATCCAGTGTCCATATTGAGTATATGTCTAGACATTGTGATACACTGCCATGTGTGAAAGTGTATTATACACTGGTGTTTGAAATGGTTTTAAAACCCAAAAAGACAGTCGGCAGGTGACTCATAAATTTCGCCTGCTCATCTTCAAAGTTATCTGCCAGCATTCAGATATTATGAATATTGAAAAATCATGAAAAATAAGAGACAAATCGATTAACGCAAACAATTACTTGAGGATCTAGGAGTAGTTTTGATTAAACTGAATACATATGTAGTCTCAAAATTATCTGCAAGACAGGCGGGCAGGTGGAAGAAAATTTCATGCAGCCTGACTGAAAAGTTACAAGCCACAGGCAGGCAGTTAATCGGACACTGTTATACAGTAACATAAAATTTGTCTCTGAATTAGGATAAACATGAAATGCTTGATTGAAATTAATATAAATTTGAATTTGAAGACAAGCATATTGAATTCTGAAGGATCTCAATCAGATTTGCTGGTACAAATGACCCGAGTCAAGTCACTCACTAACATGTGAAACATGGCAATACCATTTTTCCAGAGAAATATAAAAATTTGATACCAATCAGATTATGATAATGACCTATGATTTTCCAAACAGGCCTATGATTTTGATCAGGGCTCAATTTAAGGAACCAGATTAAACTTGCACCCGGTGCATGTTGACATAAAAACAGTTGCACTGGACAAAACCAGGTTGAACCCTGGGCCCACTTGCACAAAGCGATCTTAGCGCTAAGGTGATGGTAACTCCCATACTTTAACATAGGTTTACGGTAGTCTTTGCGCTAAGATCGCTTTGTCAAGTGGGCCCTGGTCCAATAGATTATTACAGTTGAAACACAGGCCGATCTGCTGCCATGGTCACCTAAATCAATGATGTATTGATGATGTAACATGGTATGAAAAGCATGACAAATTACACATAACACACGGATTAGTGATATAGTATGGCAAATAACGCCTAGAGGTATTGTGTTCACAGATCAAGCCCTGCATGTTGGTCAATGTGACATTGTGTCTTGGGCCATTGACACACAGAAGGGTCTACCAACTGCAATAATTATAACTTCATTTGTGTTTTTCTGTTTCAGCTTTACAGAACAGACAATGTATCGAACTTGCTGTCATTTAAAATTATGGCTAAAATCCCCAAACTACTGAAATGTCAATCCAAAGTAAGACACAATTCCTGATGGTTTGTGGTGAGTTTCCAGTAAGTGTGTCAAAATACACCACTCATGTATTGAAACACATCGCGATACTTGAGATGTGCTACGAACCACAATACATATTCCATTTGGCAAGAGTGATAACCGGCTGTTTCTTTCAACCAGTCTGTATTTAACTTGTGGTTAATTGTGACCCACTCTAATTGCATTATGCAATCAGATTTAGAATTTCCGTTAGTAATAGGAGGAAAGCCTATGGGAATGCTAGCCCTGATGAGTGTCAAGCTCAGCTATTGCAAAAAAATTAAAATTGAACAATCACCATGCATTGACATGTGAATATATTTAGGAATCGTGTTTTGTTTGTTGTTGTTTAACACCGTGCTCAGCAATATTCCAGCTATATGATGATGGTCTGTAAATAACTGAGACTGGGTCAGGCAATTCAGTGATTGACATCATGAGCATTGATCCACGCAATTGGGATATGATGACAGGCATCAACTGAGTCAGCGAGTCAGACCACCTTAACCCGTTAGGGGAACACCTCACTGTGCCCTCACCTATCAAAAAAAACACACAAGAAAATAGAAATAATAGAAAATTATTTACGTGGGATATTTTTGTGAAAGGTTCTCTAATTATTGACACTCCATCCTCATTAAAGCGGAATGACAAGCTATTTCGTTAAAGGCTTATCTGAAAGAGCAATAGAAGAAGCTTTATATGTGGCTAAGCTACCTAAAGCTGTAATATGAATGAACCAGTAATGCAAGAGAAATAGCTTTCTATGGCCATAAAGACTTGACACGTACAATTTATTGTGATGGTTAACATGGTTCATGAGACTAAAAGAATTCCATGACTCTCATTATCATGATTATAAATGTTTAAAGTTAGGGTTTAATGGTAAGGAATCTTTTTCTCAGCATTTCGTCAATAAATTTTTTGTTTAAGAGACAGGAAATATTAATATGTCAAGTAATTCATAACATTTATTACAGTATTGCCCTAAAAACAGCAGTCTAGTACAGAAACAGATTTTTTGCATTTTGGTATTTTTTGTAACAAGCAGATAGCACAGTTATCTTTATTGGGACCCTGAAGACTTGATATAAAGATGGTCTGGTGGTTCTGATCAGGAAGTACCTGGAGGTGTGCGAGTGGGGTTTCTTGCCTAGTCAGCAACATTACAGACCGATCACAACCGCCTACCACACAGGAGAAGATGGTGTGAAACTTGATCCCACTTATGCAAACGAGCGAATGAGTGAATAAATGTTGCATAAAACCAAGTCAGCATTTTCTATAGATCCATATCGCGACAGTCTGCGAGAACTTGGGTCTTGGCCAGACAAACCAGCGATTGAAAGCATGAGCAACAATCCATGACAATGGGATACAATTGCAGTGCTTTGACATGCAGCCAAGTGACAGAGCCTGACCTCCCAATCTTTGTCAGTGATTAGAATTAAGTGGAGTCCTTGATGTTTGCTTCTATAGTAATCTAGGTGCTACTTAACTCTTTACTCAACAACATTAGGGCTATAGCAAGAGCCCCTTGACTTACATACTAAATTTAGACCACTGCTTGCGGACAATTAGTATGCATGACCAGATCGTTTACAAAATACATTTTGCCAGGGCTATGGTCAATCTATTCCCAATCAGACATTTTGCACCCAATTCTTGATACCTAGAGTGGGTACCCAGGTAGGGTAGGGTAATAGCGGGGTGGGTATCCGGTAGTAAATCTGGACTCGTCCCAGCCCTAATGAATACATGGCAATACCAAGGTCGTATTCAACCCCAGAATCCAGTTGTGATAAAATGCTTTTGAGTTGTAAAAAAACCTGTCTTACCTTCAACCACTTCTCCCTCCTCCACATCATAAAGATCCTTCAAAAACTTGTATGTCATCTCTGATATGTGAACAGTTCCCGGTCGGCCAGACGACTCCATGGTATTGGCAAGAGTGACATCATTGGACCACACATCAAACTTGAACCTTCTTGTTCCGACAATTCCACAGAGTACGGTTCCGGTGTGAACTCCCACCCTCATGTTAACCTCCTCTTGGTTGTCCTCGTCAAACTCCTTGATCAGTTTAATCATCCCGAGTCCCATCTCCACACAGCATATGGCATGGTCTGGGCGTGGCTCAGGGCACCCCGACACGCAGTAGTAACAGTCACCAAGGGTGCTGATCTTCTCACATCCACAGTTAGTACACAGCTTGTCAAATCTTCCAAACAGGTCATTCAGGAGACTCACCAAATGCTCGGCAGTCTTATTGGAACTCATTTTTGTAAAGCCGACTATGTCTGCAAAGAGGATACTAACGTTCTCAAGCTGGTTCATGTTAAATGGCCTGAATCGGATTTTGCCTTTGTCGGGTTCCTGTTTTCTATTCTTATGATCTGGATCGTCTTCATCTTTGTCACGTGACTTCATCACAGCTTCAGCAACTGACGGCGGCATAAGGGAATGGATCATCTTTTCCTTCAGCTGTTTCTCAACTTGCAGATCTCGACGAGACATCACCGACTGTCCAATCTTCCAAAAAGTGCTACGACGACGAACTTGCGACATTATGAATATATGGATCCCTATCAAATGGATACAAAAATGGAGCAAAATTTTCCCGATAATGAATGTAGCTTCTTGCATTCCTGTTATCGTAAGTGCTACCAAGATTTCATACACAATGGAATAGAAAATACCTATCAAAACTGCAGCAAACAGTGGCATGGGTATGAAGGTGTATATCATTAGAAGAATTTCCACAGATCCTGAAAAAGACCCAATTGTGGATAGATCTGAGGAGGACTTAAAGGCAAAAGGACAGAGGATCAAGGCCATTAGGAAAAGCACAAAGACTATAGAAGTAGGCATATAAAACCGTTCATATAATGGGATCTTTGTAAATCCAATGATGAGCACAGTCACAGAAAGCAGGCAGCCTGTGCCGCCAAGGAAATACATCCAGTTCTGTTCCTTGGACAGGCCGAAGAATATGAGCCATGCTAAGCATGCTGTCACGATGTAGAATAGAGCATATTGGAACCGTCTCCGCGTTTGTGGCAAGTAGCAACTCCAGAGCTGGTCTTCAAGAATCTTGGAATCAAAAGTCGGGTTCCACCAGCTTCCTGACGCTCTCTCGAACAGGACGATGGGGGTGTTCTGCTTAGGGCTCAGGGGGGTGCCCTTGTATCGGTTTTTGGCCGGCGATTGAAGATCCACGTGCACGGCTTCGGGGTCATTGGTCGTGTTGTAGCGGACAACACTGTTTTCAGTGTTTCTATCCTCGCCGCTCGCCATTTTGAAACCCGATCAGTGTTGTCACTAACTTGAAATCTGCTAGATCCACCGGTTCATACAAGCTATACAGTCTTGCAAAGAACGCTGTTTGAAGCCGAGTGTCACTTCCAACCAACACCCTAGACGCACCTGAGGGTTATGCCCCACCCCCTTGCTCTCAGATCGATCGACTCAAGCCAAGGTGCTCGCCGTACGGTTATTCCCGAAGCGCCAACACCGAGTCTGAGCGCCAAATGCTCTTTTTGACAGCACACGGATTGAATACAGCATTGTATCTATCCTAGATACTTCCTTCAAGAACAAAAAGCTCCAGCAGCCATGACAATACGCGATCCGTTACCCAGCCGAACGCACCGCCGACTGGATTACTCCGTTCAATGCAGTGGTTATGTTTGAGCTGTTCTGATTGCCAATTGGCTCCCCTCGGTAAGAAGTCGCGCTGTTACAATTAGTGTATTGAACCCCTCTGTTAATGTGTAACAGTACTGGAGGCGCTGTAGTCAGTCTCATTGGACAGTTTGGCAAATCTCTAGTTTATCATTTTCGAGACGAATTGTCGTTAGTATCAAAATGAAGTTAGTATCGCATTTATAATCTCTATGCACAACATTGGAATTCTGTACGTTTCGCAGACAACTCAAGTTCGACTCACATACCACAAAGGTATTTTGGTTAAATCGATTTAGCCTCCACTTTATCATACCAGCCTCAACAAATAGTAGATAATTAGAGCTAATCGTTTAATGACTTATTTTATCTACTTTGTGCTACTCGACGGTCTTGTGCATTTAATAATGTAGCAATTATCACCTGCATAAATAACGAAGATTTGTGCAGCAATCAGAACACAATCGATACGTCGCACTATATGCTTGTCTTGTGTTAAATGAATAGTTTGTTCCAAAGTATGCCCAGAATGAATAGTTTGTTGCGTGTTAAATACCCAAACGTCATTTTATTGTGCTGATGGTGAAAATGAACAGTCTGCTCGATGCTGCTGAGTTAATAAAATAGTTTGTTGGATGCAGAAGGGAAAGAAAATTAGATTTTCTAAAACAACACCTACTCCCTACAAATCAAATGGATGCTAATCCATACGCAATGTATGTCCCTCTGTTATTATTACCGCGGTCAAGGGATCAGAATGCACGCGAGTTTCATTCTCCGCTCCCTGGGGAGTATACAACCAAAGCTGCCTGTGAGACGCGTGAAGGTGACCAGATCCTACCCAGATGTGATCAATGAACTAAGATTTAAACCTTATTTGGATATTTGCACTTTTCTATGTTTATTTTTCTTACTTTTGAAAGTCATATGATTACAACCTGAAAAAATCATCCGTATAATGCATAAGTTATCAATACAAGCCAATATGGTTGATAGTAGACGCGTAGTATATGATTTTTTAAATTACATAATATATTTCTTTCTCCCTCTCTCTGGTTTTCCGCCGTTTCATCAACCTAGCTATGTATCGAACATTGAAACCTTTCTTTCTCATTTGCTCTTGTTTTCTAATTCTGTATTTAAAACTTGAATATCAGAAAGAAGATTGCTTGGGGATCCTCTTTTGTATTGAGCCTGGTTGATTTGTTGGTGTCAGTTGTTAAAATGCATTTTTTATTCTGTATTTTTCTCTATGATAAATATGTTGTGTGTGTGTGTTCCCACCTCTGACCAGCCCACATTTCACCACAAGAATATTTAATCTGTGTCGAATCTGGTTGAATAGTTGTAGTTTTTGGACTAATTAAGAGCGGCTTCTTGACAACAATGTGTGTCTCTCTCTCTCTCTCTCTCTCTCTCTCTCTCTCTCTCTCTCTCTCTCTCTCACACACACACACACACACACACACACACACACACACCCCTCTCTCTCCTTCTCTCTTTATTTTCCTGGTATTCATGTCATGTGGAAAAGGCCTGTCTGGACTTTTTTTATCATCTAGATTGGGTTAGGTTTCACAAAATACATATATTCCACAGCCATGGTGTTGGACAACAGGCCGATGTCCCCGTGGTATTATACGACCCAGCAACATGCATGCAGTGTAGAATTGCCTTCTCATGGTCGTGTCAGCCGATCTTTGGTTCTAATACCATGTCATTGGTGCATCGGCATCTAACTTGTACCCTTTGTTTTCAGTGTTAATCGACTTCGACCCGCATCAGCTCAGTCTGGGGGCGAGGGTAGCCCAGTCGTCAAGGCGCTGCAATTCGCTCTGCAGAGTTGCGTCCCTTGGGCACGTAAGAAACCTATGTTCATGGGTTCGAATACCGGTTCGCCCCAATTGTTTCTTGCTTTGTCAGCACAATACCAGTGCTCATGGGTTTCACCAAAGTGGTAAACATCTAAGATTTGCATTTCTTTGGACTTTCTTCCCATATTAAACTGACACGCCTCGATATAAGATATTATCAAAAGCGGCGTAAAACCCAACTCACTCACTCTTTCTGTGGCATACATGTAGATGAAATACAGCATGCACGTTCAACGTGTTCAATGTAGCGTTACGCCCAACCCAATCATATATGACACACATTTCCCCTCAGTGCCCGCGTCTAATAAGGGCTGGATCTAGGGGTTATTAAGACTTTGAAACATGAGCTGGACCTCACTAGAGGACAGAATTAGCCCCAGTTTATGTTTATCCAGTAAACACCTTAACCTTTACGAAACAAAATCGTCCCTAAATCGTCCCTTCTCGACATTGATAGGAAACTAATAGAAGTTCTTAATGGAGTAATTACGGTAATATTAATGGGAACACTATTGTCCCCGAGCCGAGGCTAAAGTGTATTGGTCGCACCGTATTTCCCCTATTAAGAATATATTAGATATATAAATAAAATACAACTTCAGCTAACGGTTGCATCCCATTACATATAATACCAACAGTAACTAAACTAAACTCGTCACAGATACGATGACATAGGGGCCTGAACAACTGAAAATGTACGTTATTACCGTAAATCCCCTACAAAAATACTGATTGTCCGAAGTTGACATGTTTTGGACCGATGGAGTGTATAACTTGTGTATGTTCGTTTGCTTTGGTGTTAAACACAGCACACAATATTCCAGCCATGTGACAGCGGTCGATGAAAAATCGAATTTGGCCACGCAATCCAGTGCGCATCGATCTACCCAATTGGAATACGGGAACACACATCATCCAAGTCACTGAGCCTGACCACCGATTCATTTAGTCGCCTCTTACGACAAGCATAGGTTTGCTAGGGACCTATATAATGTTACCTAGAATTCCAAAGGGTGTAAATTGTAGATATATGTACAGTAAAGTACGGTTATAACGAAGTCAAAGGGACTACTAATTTTAGTTCGTTATAACCGTAGTTCGTTATAAGCATATATACAGCATAACTACAGCAAATAGTCGGGACCAAAAAGTAAGTTCGTTATATCCGTAAGTTCGTTATAAGCGTGTTCGTTATAACCGTAGTTTACTGTATCTTGTATTAATTTGACAAATGGATACATTTTTACTTAAAACGCTTCATCTCTTTTGTTTCATTTATATACGAATTGGTTAAGAACAAAACACACAATACAACTTACTACAAAAACGGCTTGCGTAAATTATGCCCAAAAGTAGAGGATTTACGGTATACCCAACGCCATATAAAATACTTCGCGTATCACTTATTATATTTCATGACCGACATGCGCGCTTAATCTGTGAATCGAGCTTGTCATGTAATATATCATTGGTTCATTATACAAAGCTCGGTCGAGGATGTAGAACACGTTTTTCTTAGTTCCCTGTTGAATAATCTTCCTGGTCTAAATGCAGCCGCTCTGTTAAATACGGAACGAGTATTGCACAATACTACACTCAACGAAACTATTAATAACATATTTGATATTAGAAACATCCAAGAAACAGTCTGTGTGCCCATGCACCCCACCTGCTGGTGGTGATTAAATACTGTCTCAGCGATATAATCTAACTTCAAAAAATGGAAAGCTGAAGATGACGATGATGATGATCGTAAAGTAAACATTCAGATGACTATACGACCCTTTTTATCAGAGAACTTTTCATAAGAGATGACAAACATCCTTTCGTATGTGGCTTAATAAAAAAAGAATTCGACTGTAAGAGACAAAGAGAATCTTCGCGGAATTCCCTCTCTTGTAAACCTGACAATTGAACTGATCACATGCATGAAAGCCCGAAGGCTGAAATCTGAGACTGCCGATAAATAAATAAATGAGTGAGTGAATGAATGAATGAATGAATGAATGAATGAATCAATCAATCAATCAATCAATCAATCAATCAATCAATCAATCAATGAATAAATGAAATAAAATAAAATAAAATAAAATAAAAAATTTTTAAGAAGACGTTTAAAAAGGGATGGATGTCTCGACATCTTTTAATTCCAATGGTTTATTGTACAAGTTGTAACTAAATTATGTCTTTTACCCATCTCCCTATATAGTACAGTGATAGGGAGGGACTAGGGGCGGTGGAGTAGCTCAGTGGTTTAATTGTTCGGTCTTCACAACATATCTCAGGGTTCGATGTCCCCGCTGTGGTGATGCTGGAGTATTGCTTAAAGCGGCGTAAAACAAACCTCACTCACAAAGAGGGGGTGTTCTCATCAAACTTTCTACACCAAGCTTTTTTTGTTTCAGGTCAATCGCATTACATGCCCCTGTCATTCCGTTTTAGATTAATGAAGAGAATGAATATAGTTTTACGCCGTTTTAACAATATGATTTAGCAATACGTATATCGGTTGGCAGTGATTTGGAAAAAGCCTATAATGAAATCGGTTATGCTTAAGTCTCATTGGGCGGCGGAGTATATAACCTAGTGGTTAAAGCGTTTTCTCATCACACCGAATCCCTGGTTCGATTTCCCAAATGGATAGGACGCGTAGGTCCCCTGTCGTTATGTGACTGGAATAATGTTAATATGGTCGAAAACCCAACTCACTCACTCAAAGTAAACGGCATTCGAGCTTTTTTGTACCTTTGACATAGTCAAGGCGAGAATAATCTCTCTGAATGGCTCTTTGGGTATTTTTTTTCAACCCATACTCTCAAATGCGCCCTTGATGCGCCGCACAGCGTCACCGTAAACATTGGATGAAGTTGTGGTGAGATAGTAGACAGAAGCCCAGTCCATCCCTACTGTCAAATGCGCCATACGACGGGATTAGCTGGTGGTTTATACAGTAGATAGATGCCCAGTCCATATGCTACTTTTTAGTTGATCTATTCTAATACAGCAGCAGTTATGTTTCGTTCATCGTCAATAACACTGCTGTAAGTAACTTCATAAGAAGGCTTTGCAGAGTTGCGTCCCTTGGGCAGACCGGAAAACTGACTGTGATTGGGGGTTCAAATACCCACATGGGGTAT